GAAGCATTGCTGGAAGCCTGAAAGTGGCGGCATACACATCTAATCCCAGCATTCAGGAGGAGAGGCTTATGGGTCTCTGAGCTCAAGACCAGCCTGGTCTACAGAGCAAGTTCTAGGACAGCCAGGGTTACACAGAGAAACCCGGTCTCAAAAAAGAAAAGAGGAGGAGGAGGAGGGGAAAAGAATGAGGAAGAAGAAGACAAAAGAAGAGGCCCACGGCCCTGAGGCACCTCCACCACCATGTTTGTCCCCATGGGTCCTGCCACTGTTACTCTGGAGTGCATATGCAGGCAGTCAAGTCTCCTTTTATTGTCCAGAGTCAGTACTTGATGCCACCAGCTGGCAACAGGCAGGGTAGGTCAGGAGCACTTGAGAACCCAGCCTGACTGTCCATGTCTCTCCCTTTAGCTTCTCCCACTGTCAGGCACGTGTAGTAAGAGGGTTCTTGCTGGGAGCTACAGGGAGCAGAAGCTTGGCCCCTGCAGGAAGCTGAGGCACCATGCTCACCTTCCTGAAGCAGGGGTAGATGTGATGAGAGATACCCACCATGCCTTCTCCCTACCCTCGATTTGATTCAAGGCTGGATCAAGTCTTTCTTTTAAAATTTAGGCAATTTTTGGTCATAGATTTTGACAGTCATATGATTTTTTTTTTTTTTTTTTGGTTTGGTTTTTCAAGACAGGGTTTCTCTGTGGCTTTGAAGGCTGTCCTGGAACTAGCTCTTGTAGACCAGGCTGGGCTTGAGCTCACAGAAATCCGCCTGCCTCTGCCTCCCGAGTGCTGGGATTAAAAGCGTGCGCCACCAACGCCTGGCCAGTCATATGATTTTTAAAAGGTATTTTATGAAAACATTACTCTTCTGTCAAGACAGGGTCGCTCTATCTAGCCCTGGCTGTCCCAGAACTCACTGTGTCGTCCAAGCTGGTCTTGAACTCACAGAGTTCTACCTGCTTCTGCCTCCCAGGTGCTAGGATTAAAGGCATGGGTCAACATGAATGGCTCAAAAATGAATTTTTATTGTTGTTTTTGGTGCTCCTGCATCTGACATTTCTACAGGGTCATTGTTGATAGTCTAACTGCACCTTGCTTTGTACATTAGCGGTGTGGGTACAGTGGGAAGAAGAAGTGTGGTCATTGGCCACGGCCACCTGCTGAAGGCACCTGGTACCCATTCCGGGTGTGTTGCATACTTTGCCTAGATGCAGCCTCCAATGAACTCTCACCCATACCCATGTCAGAGCAGTTTCTGACTCATCACCTGACTGTTAGAGCCTCAGAATGTGTTTTTGTTCCATGTTTGTTTGTCTTGTCTTAATATTTTTTGAGACTCTCTTACGATGGAGCCCAGGCTAGTCTCTCCTCCTGTTTCTGCCTCCCAAATGTTCAGATTATAGGCATGCACTGCCACACCTGCTACTTCTCAGGATGCTTTTTTCTTGTTTGTTTGCTTTTATTTTATAGCTCTAAAATATCACCAATACACAGGACAGGGCATACAACACATATGTTTATTGTGTTGTGAGAGACAATAGACATTGAACCCAGGATTTAACACATGTTAGGTAAGTAATTACTATTTAGCTACATATGAAGACTTGTTCAATTCAAAAAATTAAAGACAAATTTAACAACTCAGGAGGGATCATAAAATGAAAATATCACTACTATTTGCAATTGTAACTCCATTGTCACTGAGCTTTCTTCTTCAAAGACAACTGCTATTGATTTGGTGGTTCCTTCCCCTTTACTATTGACTTTTTTCTTTTTAAATCCTTTTGGTCAAGGTTTAAATCCAGGACCTAAGCAAGCACTATAGCAATGCCACGGCCCTAGGCTCTATCACTAATTTTTTGCAATAAGCAGTTCCTTGATTTTCTTTTTGGTTTTACTATCTACATAAGGATCCCTAAGCAAGAATTTACTTCTGAACATGAATAGAAACATGTCATGGTGTAGGACTGCAATCCTGGCATTCAGCAGGTTAAGGCAGGAGAACTGCTGTGAGCTTGAGACCATCTTGGGTTACATAATGAGCACCTGGCTAGCCAGAGCTACATAGCAAGACACACAGAAATCCCGAGAATAGAACATGTTTTTTTCTTGTGTTTTTGTTATGCTTTTTGTTGTTTTTTCAAGATAGGGTTTCTCTGTGCAGTCCTGGTTGTCCTGGAACTTGCTCTGTAGACCAGGCTGGCCTCACAAAGATCCACCCACCTCTGCCTCTGGGATTAAAGGTGTGCGCCATCAAAGCTCAGCAAGCCACATGGTTTTGTGTCCATGGTCCCATACTGAGGTTATTCTGAACTACTGCTCTGGTTCACTTTCCCTACTGTGCAGTTGCAAGAACTTTAACTCACACTGGGAACCACCAGTCGGTACTGCAGGGTCTCACAGGCTAGGCAGCTGTGAACATTTCTTAAAGTCCTGGTACAGGTGCTCAGGAGTTTCTTAGAGGCACAGACCTAAGAATGGAATTGATGGCTCACCGGGTGTGTCGGTTTTGCAAAATAACACTCAGCTGTTTTTCCACAGTACTCATAGCAATTTACTCCCACCAACTAGGATCAGTTCCGGTTGCTCCATTTGCTCAACCCTTGGTATTGTCTGACTTAAGATTTTTGCCTATCAGTTAGGCATTAATGGCACTTGTTTTTCTCATTTCTAATGAAAGTGAACCCTTTCCATGTGCTATTTTAAAATCCTCCCTTTCAGATTTTCTACCAAGTTCCCCATTTCATCATCCTCTTTTCTTTTTGCAATACTAGGGATTGAATCCAGGGTCTCATGAAAACTAGGCATTTTACCACAAAACTACACCCCTAGCCTGTGTCCCCTTTTCTCTCGTGTGTGTGTGGGGGGGGGGTAATTCCTTTGACTATGCATGTGAAGACCAGAGAAGGCCATGCATCTATTTCTATCATTCTCCACTTCACTTACTGACGGTCTCTCACTGGACCTGAAACTGTTTCAGCCAGACTGGCTGGCCAGTGGACACCTTGAATCCTCTTCTCTATAACAATGGGGTGATGGTGTTATGGGTATGTGCAGCCATTCCCATTTTTATGTGGGTGCTATGGATTTGAACTCAGGTCCTCTTGCTTTCACAGTGTTTATTCTCTTAGCCATCTCCACAGACCACTTTCTTTTGGAGATAGAATCTCATGAACCCAAGGCTGGCCTGGAAGTTGCTTTGTAGCCAAGAATGAATGACCTTGAACTTAATATCCTTATACCTCCCAGCTATGATTTCAGAGGTGGTTACCACCACACTACCAACTGAGCCATATCCCAGACATTTTTTTCTTTTTTGGTTGTTCAAGACAGGGTTTCTCTGTGGCTTTGGAGGCTGTCCTGGAACTAGCCCTTGTAGACCAGGCTGGTCTTGAACTCACAGAGATCCACCTGCCTCTGCCTCCCGACTGCTGGGATTAAAGGTGTAAGCCACCAGTGCCTGGCCCCAGACATTTTCTTGACAGCAGCTGTAGTATGTGTTCTGGGTGAGGATTTTATTAATAAAAATACTCCCACCCACTCTGTGATCATTCCTTTACTCGGGTTTTAGATTAAGTTTCTAGTATTAATGCAGACCATCTTATGAACATTCTCTTCACTGTGAGACCATGGAAATTTTCTCTTGCCGTGCCCACTCTTGTACTGTCATCCTTGCTTTCCTGGACATTAAACATGCAGAAAAGCATTTCGTTTCTATACGTCACTGCTCAATGACACTTTTAGTTGAAGAAATGAACACCAAGCAGGCTGAGTGTTAAACAGCATTGTACCTTGTCCCCACAACCCTCATCCACATGAGGAAACTGAGGCTTAGAGAGCATGGGTAACATGACATAGGACACAGTCTCCCAAATTACAGTCTGAGGGCTGCCAAGGCCCAGCCTGTATGAGTCCCAACGCTAGAGAGGCCATCTATTCCGGACTGATGTCTTTGGGGCTGTAATCGGAACCATCCTAACAGCCCTGGCTCCTTCCCTGAGTGGGAGAGTGTGGACCTGGGGAAGCTAATTACCTAAGGATGAGACACAGACATCTTGTCATCTCAGAAGGGCTCTCAGTCCATGCTGGAGACTGGAGTCCACCATTTATTCAAACATCCTCTTAAATAGCTTTCCAACCACGGGAGTGATATCAGAAGACATCTATTATCATGTATAAAGATGATATTTCCTTTAATCCTAGAGGCACCCCTAAAACTGTACATCCTCAGTCCTCACTAGCCTTTCACCAGTCCCTAGGCACTGTATAGTAGCCCTCAGAATAGGTGTGGGCCCACCCGGGGCCTATGTCTGTTGTTATGCAAACTAGGAGACATTCTCCACTGAGGCCAAACCATCTGCTAGCAACCAGTTGGACATCTAAAAGACATGTGAGATTCGAGCTCCTGGGATAGAGTTTGAGGCCTGTATCTGAAATACCATAATTGATATTTCAGGCCCCTGACAGAGGGCCAAAGGTCTTCACCTCTCTGAAATAATTAAAATGCTTACAAAGATGTTAGTTTCAGGCCAGTTCACGATATGAGCTTGAAAACAACAGGACTGGAATTTAATTTTCAAGTTTAACTATTTCCTTTCATGTCTATGATAGCTGGGCAAACAGCAAAAGTACCACCCATTCTTCCCAGAGGCTACAAGAGCACATGACATGATGACTGTCAGGTGAACTCTTACCCACATCCCACCCACCCTCTTCCTGGTACCTGACTCCTACTAACTTTTCCACCAGGTGCTGCCTGAATCAAATGTTGACATCTAGAAGCCTACAGCCTACCTGGCTCCCAGGAAGAAATCAACCCACAGTCTGTCCCACATTATTTAGGATTGGGACACTAGGGCACCTGCCCAAGTCCCACATGGCTAGGGTGGTTCCCTCTTGGGAGGGGAAAAAGAAGCCACCAGTTTCGGTCTGCACTGATAAGATATGTTCAGTCCCTGGGGAAGACATAACTCCCAGCGCACCTGCTTTCCAACACACAACACCAATCATGAAGGCCACTGACTTTATTAGTCTAAAAATCTTTGTAAGGGCGGTAACTATTTTCGACAAAAAAGAAAAAAACAAAAAAAAGAGCCAAAGGACATCCAACAGATCGTGAATGGAGGGAGAAAAGGGCTAGGAATCCATTGGGGAAAGTTAACTGTTGCCATGGAACTGCAGGGGGAGAGGAGAAAGGCATGCAAGGGCAAGAATCCTAAAAAGGTTGAAACGCTGAGGGGAGAGAACTCCCAAAAGACCCTGGAGTACATAGGAGGTGAGTGTGACAACAGTAATCTTTCCCTTCACGGAGGACAGGGAGGAGCCCCACCCGGCTTCAGACTCTGGAGACTCAATATTGTGGCTGGGGGGCTGAGGAGTCCCCAGAGTACATTACAAGAAGGCATCACACCATTCTCGAAGGCACCCAAAACAGTCCCGGGACTGCTTGGCATTGGCACCACACGTGTCCTTCAGCCATTCTCTGAAGAGGTCTTCATCTTTCTTTAGCACCAGAAACTGGCCAAGGACCACATAAGCCTATAAAACAGGAAGGGCATACAGCTAAGTGCCTTGTGAGCAAAGAGCAACCTGAAGGGGCCAGATCTCTGAAGCTAGGCAAGTCAGCTGATAAGCACTTGAGAGGGCAAGGCCATTTTGTTTTGGTTGTTTTGTTTAAGACAGGGTCTTGCTTTGTTGACTAGACTGGCATTAAACTAGATGAGAATCTGCTTGCCTCAATCTCACAAGTGCTGGGGTCATAGGGAGGACCCACTATACCTAGTTTCATCACCTTTGTGGCATTGAAAACACTCAAAGGGTAGGACACAGTAGGGCACACCTTTAATCCCAGCACTTGTGAGACAGAGATCCTGTCTCCAAAACAACAACAAAAATGACTTTGCCTCCCCAGATGCCCCCAAACCACTTCAAATTATCTACCACTGTCCGTGCCCTCCCCGTACCCCTACTTTTCCTAACTCCCAATTTTTTTGCTTGGAATCATCTGTTGCCAACTTTCACTCCTACCCCTCCCTGGCATCTGTGGCCACCCCACACCTTGTCAAAGCCCCTTTCCTCCAGCTTCTTGCCCAGGACTTCACCAATCCCGGCCAGGCTCCCCACTGGCTTTTCCCCCATGGGCTCTGCCACGAAGTCACGGTGCTTTTGGGAGGTTGTCATCTTGATCAGGTTTAACCTGGGAATCCCAAAAAAAGGCAGGTTAGGGCTGAAGACCACAACTCCCAAGGGCAACCTCCTAGGTCAGCTATTGTGGCTGCTTCCTCGATTCCCCCTCATCTCACACCTGAGAAAATTGGGGGCCAGGGAAAGTCTTTCCCCCGCTATTACATCCTGAAATCTCCACTTTCTGTGGGCCCTGGGATTTGGTAATGAGCTTGCACTAACAAGTGGCGCACGTAGAGAAAGACTCACAGCCTCAGCAGCCAGGGCCCGCCCTGAAGCTGTCACTCTTGGTGACCTTGGCCAGGCAAACACTGACCCCGACCGGAGCTACCACGTGGTAGAAATAGCAGCAAAAAGAGGGGCTCGTT